CCTCCTCCTCCTTCTTCCTGTTTGAGATAAAGTTTCACTAGGGAGCCTTAGCTGGCTTGGAACTCCCTATGTAGTCCAGGCTGGCTGGCCTCCAACTCAGAGACATCCATCTGTGTCCACCTCTTGAGTGCTAGGACCAAAGGCTGTGCCACCACACCCAGTTAAGATTGTTATCTTGCAAATTATTCAAAGCAAGTTTGTGAACAGACCTTCCGGTCTGTTTTATGACTGCATCACTTTTCTCTGTACAGGTTTAGATGACTGACAGTACTCCATAGGGCATTTGGGTTCTTTCCAGGTTTTTTGCTATCATAAAGCGACATGAGAACATGAGTGATTTTGTATATGGGTCATTTCTCAGATACGTAAGTTCGTCTTGATAAACTCCTCCAAATGGAAATGCTGACTTAGAACCAGACACGTTTGTAGGTTTCAGAGAAATTGCAGAATTGGCCTCATGATCAGTGGTAGCAGTGTATACATCTGTCTGGTGTGTGAGAGTGACTGCTTCCAGGCAGCTTTGCCAGCTCTGTGTATTAGTGAACTTTCTGTTTCATCCTCTTTCTTTGCTTTGTTCTCACAGAGGTCAGCAGAACTGGCTGCAGCTGGATCACCGCGTTCTGGAACATGATTTGCCTAAGAAGCCAGGGCCTGCTACCCTGTACTTTGCTGTCAGGTATGTGTGTGTGTGCATGTATCCAGAATTCCCTTCCTTTGGGGATTATTTTATTTTTTAATTTTTTAACATTTCTAGTGATGAGAAATAGAGAATAAAAAGAGAAAAGACCCTATCAAAACATTATCACGGGAAAGAGATTTTCTACTGTCTTGGTCTAAGCACCAAGTTACCATAGTACTGTGAAGAGCTGTTTTCTTTGAAGATAAAGGAGAGACCCATCCTCCTTTATTCCTCACAGGCTCTTAGATAAATGTAAGGCTGAGAAATCCGAGTGATATATTTTAATGTATAAGCCTGTTTTTTCAATGTACTGTTAGGATTCTTAGGACTTAAGATTTGAAAAACATTTGCTGTTATACTTTATGTTGGAATAATGTTTGCTAGAGGCTTGGAAATAATTGGGTTTTATGCAATTTCATGTCTTAATTGGAATCAGAGATAAGGTGCAAAACAAATATTAAGAGAAAGAATTATCGAATGCCTCAGAGATCTGAATTCTGCCGGCCTGCAGCAGCAGATCATGGTGCTCGGAGTCCTTGATATGTTCTCTGAGCTGTTTGGGAACTAGATCCTGAAACTGATGCATTTAACCAAGCAGGGATTTCTCAAAGCCAGCCCATCACAGAAATATCTTAGCATTGATTATTATCAATATATGATAAACAGAATGTATAAGAAATAACACACTTGTCCTCTACTCAGCTAAAAATACAAAGTTTGGGGACTGGAAAGATGCCTCAGAGGTTAAGAGCACTGGCTGCTCTTGCAGAGGACCCAGGTTCAGTTCCCAGTACCCACATGGCAGCTAAACTATCTATAACTCCAGTTCCCGTGAATCTGATGCCCGCTTCTGGCCTCTGTGGGCACTGCATGACACAGGTGTACTTACATACATGCAGGCAAAACACTTAAACACATAAAATAAAAAATGGGAAATGTATGAAATTTTTAATTTTTAATAAAAAAGAAAAATAAATAAATTTTTTTAAAAAGATACAAACTTTCCCAATGGAGTAAAAAGTTCCTGCATTGGGGGCCCTGCCTCATTCTTAAACCTGATGAACAATTAATTACACAATAACTTTGCATTGCTGGTAGCTTTTTCATAAGTCTAATTTATTTTCGTAAATCTAACTTATTTAGCTCAATCAAGAAAGACATTTTGCCAAGTCTGACCGCTGGAGTTCAGTTTCTAGGAATCCCATGGTAGAAGGAGAAAACTGGTTCCTAAAAGTCGTTCTCTGGCTGCTAACATATGTGCTGTGGCACACATGCCCATATACATAAGCATGCATGCACACACAAAACAAACAAATAAATGTAAAAAATGCTTTAAAGCTAATTCAACTTGAAGAATAGACTAAGATATTATTCTTATTTTGTTTTGCTTATTTTTAATAATGAAGTTGTACTTCATTTTATCTACAATGACGGAAACTTTTTGCTTCTTTTCCTCCTCTTCTGCCTTCTCTTTCTCCTCCTCCTCCTCCTTCCTCTTCCTCCTTCCTCCTTCCTCCTCCTCCTTATGATGGTCAGGCAAAGTAAATCACGGTGAAATTTTACAAGTACTGTGATTTCTTTTCCTTTACTTCATCTGTTCAATGAAATCCAAAAGTATAAAACATCTTACTACTTCTTAAAAATTGTACTTTTTTATGAATTAACTATAGAGAGTCTCTGCTCCTTACTCTACAAATACAGTGTTGAAAATCTAGGATGGGGGCAGTTAGTTGATGAGTCTCCTCCTTCCTCCTCTTCCTCCTTCCTCTTCCTCCTTCCTCCTTCCTCTGTTTTGTGATTCTGAAGTCTGGGTTGTAATTTTTTTCTTACCCCAAACCCTACTTGGTTGTTGCTGTTGTTTAGTTTTCAGTAGTTCAGGTTAATAGTTGCTGCTGCTGTTGTTCAGTTTTTAATAGTACAGGTTTTAATAGTTCAGTTTTTAATAATCCAGGTTCTTGCCTTGTTAGGTCCATGCTCCACTACTGAGCTTCTCCCAGACCCCTTAGAAGATCTACATTTAATGCCCGGGAAGGAGAGACCATAGCAATGGCTCATCCAGGCCTAAATCATCAGTTGGAGAAGTGCTGAGAGATCCTAAAGGAAAACTAGAGTTTACTGAAAAGGCCATGATATGACACTTGTGTGATCAGAAGTGGAGAAAAGGAAAAAGAAAGCTTCTGAGGCTGGAGAGATGGCGAAGGGCACTGGCTGCTCTTGCTGAGGATCCAGGTTCAGTTCCCAGAACCCACATAGCAGCTCATAATCAGCTGCAGCTCCAGGGAATCAGATGCCCTTTTTTGGCCTCTGTAGACCCTGTGCACACAGTGCACATACATACACGCCTGCAGGCAAACACTGATACATGTAAAATCTTCTTGGGTTTTTTTTTTTTTTTTTTTTTTGGTGTTTTTGAGACAGGGTCTCCCTGTAGCCCCAGCTGTCCTGGAACTCACTATGTAGACCAGGCTGGCCTTGAACTCACAGAGTTCTGCCTACCTCTGCCTCCCAAGTGCTGGGATTAAAGGTATGCACCATCGTTTTTTAAAAAGAAAAAAGCTTCTTATTAGTAACTGAGCAGGAATCAGAAAGTACAAAACTTCAGTCTTGTGTTCTGTACGGAAAATGGCTCAAAGCAAATAAGATACAGCTTTCCACAGAGAATTATGTTGTCACTATCAACATCTCAAACTCTGTGAAGACACAGAAGGAGAGATAAGTAACTGAGCAGGAATCAGAAAGTACAAAACTTCAGTCTTGTGTTCTGTAAGGAAAATGGCTCAAAGCAAATAAGATACAGCTTTCCACAGAGAATTATGTTATCACTATCAACATCTCAAACTCTGTGAAGACACAGAAGGAGAGATGAGAGTTACTCTACCAGCCTTCAACGTTCGCCTCCCCCTTCCAGTTTCCCATCTTAGAGGACAAGTGGACAGGCTGCTGAGTGACTATTTTTTAACATGGATATACAAAAATCTATTTTCCTTCTCTCTTTCATAATTCAGCTATCCCCATCTCCTGTGAGTGTGTGGAGTGCTCTGGGTAATGGAAATTTAGTGTACAGCTAGCTAGCATCCTTCCACTTTCGTCTCTATGTGCCTGTGTCAGGTGTCTGCTGCTTAACAACTCAGTGAGAGCATTATGTCCTCAGAGAATCTTAACAAGTGCTGTTTATTTGCTGACCAGATTTGTGCACCGGTTCTCTGACAGCTGCTATGTGGTCTATCTTGGGTCTGAAAATAACCACAGAGCAAACCCTGTCTCCCTTCCTGACAGTCCTTCCCAAGGCCACTCTGCCTTTTCCAGCTGCTTCCTGGGATTCGACAGGGGCTGGCAGCTTGTTCCTGTACTTAGTGCCTACTCAGCTTGTTATCTCATGTGTCGTGTAACTTGGTGTTAATATTCTCCCAACTGCTTGCATTTGTGCACCGGTTCTCTGACAGCTGCTATGTGGTCTATCTTGGGTCTGAAAATAACCACAGAGCAAACCCTGTCTCCCTTCCTGACAGTCCTTCCCAAGGCCACTCTGCCTTTTCCAGCTGCTTCCTGGGATTCGACAGGGGCTGGCTGCTTGTTCCTGTACTTAGTGCCTACTCAGCTTGTTATCTCATGTGTCCTGTAACTTGGTGTTAATATTCTCCCAACTGCTTGCATGTTTGAAACGCTTATCAAGTTTTTAATGATTCTCTTAATGCATCCTCCCAACGAGTCAGTGACATCATTATAGTCTTTATTATTCCAATTAAGTAATTGTTATTACTCTAATTAAAGGTAAAAACATGATAGAATAAAAAGCACACACCACAGAATTATGTGAACCAACTTGACCAAGGTCACAGAGAAGAGGGGAGCTCGGGGACAGCTAGTGAATGGTTTTTGTCATACACAGCTGTTTGCCAGAGGGTCTTACACCTCCAACTGGAGAAAACAGTATTGTTGGTGACATTTGTATCTGAGGAGATAGCCTTCTAGGTTACCTGTGTTGACAAAAGATGCAGCCAGGGGACCAGCGAGGTAGCCCAGTAGTACTCAAGCATCAGGACCTAAATTCAGTCCCCAGAACTCAAACTAAAAAGAGCCCAGGTATGGCAGTGCTCAGTTGTTAAGTAATCCCAGCTCCAAAGAGGCAGAAACACATGGATCCCCGGGGCTTGAGAGACTCTGTCTCAGAAAAAAAGTAATACAAGGTGGCCAGCCCCTGAGGAACCTCTGGCTTCCACATGCATGTGCTTAGACATGCACACACACACACACACACACACTCACACATACACACACATAAATGCAACAAAAGATATTATTTGGTTGTTTTGATATTTGGACACTATATAAAAGCCTTTGAAAGTGCGGGGATTGCTCAAGATTGGGTCACCAGCACCTCTTATACAAACAGTATTGTTACATGTGCTGGGATACACAGTGTAGGGGTCCCTCACACATGGATTCCTATGTGTTGTGCTGGGATACACAACACAGGGGCCCTCACCCACGGAGACTGAGGTGTGGGGTCACAGAGGCATTAGCAGACAGTGAGAAAAGATTTCCCTCCAGTGGCTGCACTCTGCCAGGAAATACATCACTCTCATCCTTAGTGAAACAATCAGAAACAACAAAATGCCAGCACTGAAGATAGGGCAGCAAGGTGTAGCATTTTTACAGGCAGCTGTGACTCACTTTCACAGAAGAACGGAGATGAAAATGCCTGTTGCCTTTCAGTTTCTCTGGAGGGAGAAGCAGAGGCTTAGCCAAATCATCTTGGGAGAAGTTTCAATCTATGCAATTGCTTCCTCCTTTAAACCCAAAGCTCTCAGCTCACCTTCATTCCTGGCCTGGTAGAAGAGGGCTCTGTTGCCAAGCGCCTTCCTCACTCCTCCTTTCTAAATCATGACTTTAGTAAGTCAATATTATCAGAGATGTCATCGTCATCTGTCTTGTCTCTTGGGCATCTGCTGTGATGAGGCATGTTGTAATGTTGTATTTGAACAGTAAAGAAT